TTTTGATTCATTAGACCGATATTTAGAATATAATGTGAAGTGAATGAATGCAATAAACATTAATAATAAGGAAGGCTTATTCTCTTTTTCAGAGGTCACCACAGCGGAATGAACCTCTAACTATTCCAACATGCATTTTGCGCAGCGGATGCTCTTCCAGCTGCAACCCAGTATTGGGAAATATACATACACACTCAATCACACACACTCATACACTATGGACAGTTTATTTAATTCACCTGTGCTGCATGTCTTTGGACTGTGGGGGAAAACCAGAACACCTGGAGGAAACCCAGGCAACATGCAAACTCCACACAGAAATGCCAACTGGGATCCCAGGTGGGACTCAAATCAGTGACTTTTTTGCTGTGAGGTGACAGTGCTAACCACTGAGCCACCATGCAGCAACACTTTGTCATATATAAACAGAAAAAACCTACTGCAAAGGCGATGAAAAGTCTGAAAGCAAGAGAAAGTAAATGCAAAGTGTTTATTTATTGACACAATTACAGTACTGTGAGGTAAAAACGGGACTGATTTCACCAGAAACAGAAACCAGACGCCATAAAAAACTGAAATGTGTGTGTCTGTGTGTGGTCTCCATGAAGAAAACAACCTACAAATCACAGTACATTAAGATAATTTAGAAAACATAAGGGCACAGAATGTTTTCTGCGAGGGTTGCATTTACTTTTACATTTACATTTAGTCATTTAGCCGACGCTTTTAACCAAAGCGACTTACAAATGAGGAAATACAGTTTGCATACAATAAAAATTATTATGTCGATGTAAGGAAATGTAAAGAAATCAGTGTTTTTGAAACTAATGAAGACAGCAGAGGTCAATGATTTATTTGAATTATTTAATCTGACATGTTTACAGCTCCAAAATATTTAAATGTTTATTAAAATAAAATGTATTGTGTTCAATGGGAGAAAAGTAGTTGCTTTTTACATATTTTAGTGCAGTAATCACAATACTGTCATACTGTGAAAGCATCATATTTTTATCCAAGGTTATCATTCTGTCAGAATCTTACACCGGCCCACGTCTATTGTTTGCGTACATGTGCTCTTAAACTAAGAGTGTATTTGTTGTGCGGTTGCAGACATGGGGTCAGACTGTCAGTGTGGTGGTGGTGGTGGTGTGTGTGTGCATTTTTTAGATATTTAGACTGAGTGTACAGTGTGTGCGCACTTGCAGACATGGAGTCAGATTCTCGGTTTGAGTGTGTGTGCGTGCATTTTCTTAAATATTTAGACTATGAGTGTATTTGTGCAGTTGCACACTTGCCAATGTGTGTGTGTGTGTGTGTGTGTGTGTGTTTGTGTGCATGTTTTAGACATTTAGACTTGGCGTAAACACTCCAAAAATTATGTTTGTTGTTTGTTCAAACTACTAATTTAAAATGAGCAGGAACAACTTAATTGTTTGATGTTTAATCCACTTAAACTTGTTAAAACTAATAAGTTAACTTCATTTCCTCAGGTTGTCTCAACACAAATCGAGTGTGTGAAACCCAGCATTTTTTCTAGTGCAGTATGTGTGCGTTTTACAGATATGGGGTCAGACTGTCAGTGTGGTGGTGTATATATGTGTGCTATGAGTGTAGAGTATGATTCTCAGTGTGTGTGTTTCTGTGTGTGTGCATGCATTTTCTGAGATATCTAAACTACGAGTGTACACTACAGAATGTGTGGATTTGCAGATATGGGGTTAGACTTGTGTGCGTTTGTGTGCGTGCATGTGTGTCATTTTCTTGGATGTTTAGACATGGGGCTCTCGGTGTGTGTGTGTGTGCATTTTCTAAGAGACTTAGCCTATTTAGAGTGTACACTACAGTATGTGTACACATGGGGTCAGACTTTTGTGTGTTTGTGTGTGTGTGTGTGTGTGTGTGTGTGTGTGTGTGTGTGTGTGTGTGTGTGTGTGTGTGTGTGTGTGTGTGTGTGTGTGTGTGTGTGTGTGTGTGTGTGCATGCATTTTCATATTTAGATCATGAGAGTACAGGATGTGTGTGTTTGCAGACATGGAACTATGTGTGTATCTGTGTGTATTTGTGCATTTTCTGAGATAAATAAACTATGAGTGTATACACTACACTATGTGTGCATTTGCAGACATGGAGTCAGCTTCTTGTGTGTGTTTGTGTGTGTGTGCATTTTCTTAGATATTTAGATTATAAGAGTAAAGTATGCGTGTTTACAGACATGACACTCTCAGTGTGTGTGTCCATGGACAGTGGGTCAGAGTGAAGAAGGCTTTGCTTGTTGTTGGTATGGATAGCATGTTGACTCAGCACTGAGTTATATATTCCGCAGCTGTTAAGATCTGAGCCTGGTGAATGTCTTTCTAAAGAAGAGACTCTCCAGCCATCCAATACGCACTCCTTATGCCAACAATTACTAATACATCACAGCCTTGTAGACACTCCAAAGTGCAGTAGCCATGACAAACACGAACGCACTCCATGGCAATTTCCTGGTAATAGAGCAACTCCTTCATTTCTTAAACCCACTACAATAAAAGCAATCAATCCGACATGCTGAGCTCTCAAATTTATCCCAACCTCCACTTTAACTTACTCTTTATTCATTGCTGGTTACGATTAACCAGCCGGATTAACAGGTGTTTCACAGTACAGCATAGATTTAAACAGGTTTTGACATGTACTTGGTAGATGCCACTTGACGCCGCTGAATAATGTACGACGAGATCCATCTGTTCTTTTCTCTCGCATAGCTGTCAGTGTATTTCACAAGGGAAATACACACAATAGGATACCCAAGTGAGACATGTTCTTCTATCAACATCCACTGCTTTCCTAGGATAACATTCCTGCAGTCTCTTTCCTTCACCCTAAACCCGTTCCTAAAATCACAGTCTTGGGTGGAGCTTATGGAAAGTTGAGTTATGTGTGGAAAATAGATTTGGAAAGTGGAATTGGAAAGCATTTATCAGTTGGGAGGTGTTTATGACATATTTATTTATTTGTTAATTAAGTGAAAGCAGTGTAAATTCCCTTATGAATGTGTAAATCGCATTATGATGTGATAAATAATAGAAATAGAAAGTGTGTTTTAGTGTGCTGTGAGCGTCTAAAAATAGTTAAAGAGCAATAGTCCAGAAATTTACCATGGTAACCCTAGCATTCACAAAAATGTAACTAGGTAACTTGGTATTAGTCACCACCACAAAAAAAGAGAAATAAATGAAATAAAATTAAATGAAATCATTCAAGAGGGCTTGGCTGGTCAGGGTTAATCTGGGGCTGTCACAAAATGTTTGCTCCTTTAATTCATATTCACTGATTTCATTAAGATATTCATGGATTGTGAGGACAGCTTTTCTTTTTTTAAACACAAATTCACCTCATTTCGCTCTAATTGTTCTCAAAACGATTTGCAGAAAGGTTTAGAAAAATATATGAATGTTGAAGGAACCAGTTACATTATATATAACACTTAAATTATGAATAATTTATGATGTCTGAGAGAATGGAATATGAAGTATGAATAAATAGATCATGTTTGATGTAAATTACAATGAATCATACAGTATGATATGCACTTTTTTGTTTGTTCTGAATACATACTCTAATATCACTCAATTTTAGTGTCATTGTTAGGCTACTGCTTCTAGCCTTGCATGCAATTAACCCTAAACCAAAGCCTCATAATTATCTAACCATACAAGTTGTTAATTTATATTATTATTTTTTTCACATTTCTTGGTGGAAAGAGTTCTGAAAAATTAAGTTAAAAATACCATTACTTGCCCAACAATGTAGTGCAAGTAGAATACATATATCTGTTGAAAATATTTCTCATAGTATGAGTAAAGTGGCCTAAAATTACTCAAGAGTAGCGAGTATATGCTTTGAAAAGCTGATGTATTTAGATGCAATTTGTGCATGTGTGTGAAAACGTAACATTCTGTAGAGCTTTTAGTAATTGTTTAAGGTCATTTGGCGATTTCAATCATCATATCATATGAATCTGTCATCTTCTCATCAGTGACATGCATCTAAACAGTCTCTCGATCACTGCATGTAATGATTATAGAAAGCTTCTTGGACACTTCTAAGTTTCCAAATGGTTTGCTGCATTTATAAAGCACCCATGTCTTGGGTTTGCTTAGTATGATGCCATTTACTTACTATGTGCAATGAGAATCACAGGACTGATTTTTTTATTCCAATTCCTACAAGTAAAAATAAAGTAGTGACTGCAGGTTTAAGGTAAATAGCAGAGTAAAAGTACATGATACAGCACTAAAAATGTTCTCAAGGGAAAGTAAAAATACACGTTTTTAAAACTACTTAGTAAATTACGATATCTAAGATAAACTGCTCAATTAGCTACTGTGATTTAAGCATTTGTAATTTGTTACTTTACACCACTGCATTTCCCATCCTCCAAACAACTAATACAAATGTATCCTAATATAAAAGCACAATATAATTTTAGTCGTGAATAAAAGTAAACACAGATAGGATTGTAATCAGGAAATTGTCTGTTGTTTACTCATGGACTTATTTTAATGTTTGTTACACAAGAAATATTCAGCAAAGACTGAAACCTTAGCCCACCAACCGACCCCGGTCTCCTCGGATTTGTTTTCAGTCACAACAACCACAATTATGTTATTCCGCCGAAAACTGTGGTTATCCTAATAATGGGTTGAACTTGAGGTCGCACACACCGAATATACTGTGACAGCAGCATCCCGTCCATTTGAATGAAACAGTGTGTGTATGTGTGTGTGCGAAAATCTAGATGAGAGACGCTATTTACGAAGCGCTTCTCAATGAGCTACTTTTAGAAATGCTGTTTCTGACGAACGTTCAGTCAGTGTCAGACGGAGCGTCGCTGTCAGGCGCCTCGCTGTCATCTAATGTTTGGATAAATCTATTAACTAGATTTAAACGCGTTACACGTAAATCCTCGAACAGTCTAGTCAAAAATACCTTCAATATTACTGGCGTGTTAAACTTACCTTGACAACTTGTCCAGCTTTGATATTCCCAATGAACGCGCGTTTCCGTTTGGTGACTGCGATACCGATAACTTTCTGAGCGACTGAGTTGATGAAAGCCTTTCTGTCTATATTCAAGCACAATTCTCTCTCTCTCTCTCTCTCTCTCTCTCTCTCTCTCTCTCTCATTCAGCAGGGGTTCAGTCAGTAGAGGGGGTGGGAATGGAATAAAGCGCACATGCTGCTACTGATGTGCTGTTCTCCCACCAATCGTTGCTATTTTGTGAAATCAGGCTTGAGATCGATAAATAAAAGAATATAGAAGGGTGGGAAATGTAAAAATATTAAATTAATGAATTATTTAATAACATTAAAACCTGGAAGAAAAATGGCTAACCTAAAAATCTTTATTCTGTTCCTCAGACAAATAACCTTCTGAAATGTGAATTTCAAGATTTGCAAAACAGTGACATGCATTCTAATGAAATGCTAATGTGCATAATAAAGACACCTCATGTAAACTGTGGCAGAGCTAGGGTATTTTAAAATATAAAAATTGTTTGAATGCAGTGTTTTAAAAAATGTTACTGTCTTACAAACAAATCTATTACGAACTGCAAAACAATATGTCAGCAATGTTGGTTTATAATTTTCTTTTTTGCCATTAGTATGTAGATTTCAGTTTGTGGTGCGTCAAAGTGGCTCAGTGGTAAGCACTGTCACCAAGAAGGTCGCTGGTTCGAGCCCCGGCTGAGTCAGTTGGCAGTTCTTTGTGGAGTTTGCATGTTCTCCCTGTGTTCAAGTGGGTTTCCACCAAGTGCTCTGGTTTCCCCCACAGTCCAAAGACATGCATAGATTAATTTAATAAATTAAATTGTCCGTAGTGTATGAGTGTGAATGACTGTATGGCTGTTTCCCTGTACTGGGTTGCAGCTGGAAGGGCATCCGCTGTAAAACATATGCTGGATAAGTTGGTGGTTCATTCCATTGTGGTGACCCCTATTGAATAAAGGGACTAAGGCAAAAACGAATGAACAAAGTTGAATTAGCATAATATCACCCTTTACTGGTCTGTACTGCTGTCTGCCTTTAAATGGTTCATGTTTTCAACGTCATTTCTAAAAAAAAAAAAACATTGTCAAAAAAAGCGTTTATTCTAGCATGATTTGCTTACTGTAAAAAATAATACCCTATCTACACAATAAATTTGAGGTAACAGATTACAAGCTATATTATTAATTAAATGTAACAAGTATGGATTGAGTAAAAATTTATTAAATTTAGCTCAAACTAGAGTAGCCTGTCTAGCAGTGGAGCCACAAAACATAATAGAAAATATGTCATACACATTAAATAGTGTAGGCTACATTCAAACAAATTGATCATCTTAAAAAGGACTTTAATAATGTTTTTAAACTGCATAGTTTCAACCAACTGCACATTAAACAATAAACAATATTGCTTATAAACAAACTTAAAATAAAATTTATGTGAATACATTTTGTTTGACAGTTTAAGTATCCAGATACTATCCGCTTGTTAAATTATGACGTATCGGTGACGTTTAAAATACTGTTTCTGGGTCCAAGTCGCTACTCATGGCCACTTTTTAGTCAAATTGCACATTAAAGTGAATTTTATATACTGTAAAATCATAGCATACATGTCGGCTTCTAGACTCGCTGCATCACAAATACCAAAATTTTAACAATTTATAAAAAATGTATCACTTTCTGACCATCTGATATTAGGCATGGACATATATATTGCGATCACGATTTTCGAAAGTATTACACCACTTTGTAAATGTTTATTATTAGCATTTGTTGAGTCTCCCCATTCAGTTTCACTGAGCACTTGGACCTGGAAGCCCCTTTACATGACTTTACACTTAACAAGTGTAGGCAATGTATTATATTCAGTTCCTGGGATAACCACCCCCCTAAAATTTTACAGTGTTCACTGTTACAAAACTCCCTCTAATCACTAAATAATGTAAAGTAATTTCTTGCTCACGATACATTGTATAATCTTTCCAGTTTATATGACAAAATTTATGACTGCTTCGATACTAATGAAAACTAAAGTGTTTTAAGTAACACATCTGATTGGCTTTTGTGTTCATAAACTCAACATAAATGTTTGTGATTGGTTGTTATTCAGCTTAAGTTGTGCATGGGTAGTTTGGGTTGATAAACTATACAGTTGATCCAGTGTTTCCATCACCGGTCAATAGCACAGGTGTCAAACTGAGTTCCTGGAGGGCCTCATTTTAGCACAGTTTAGCTTTAGCCCTAATCAAACACACCTGAGCAAACTAACTGATTAATTCAGACTTGTTTTAAATGTTATGGTCATTAAAGTCATTAAAGACATGGGAAACATTAGGAGATGAAATACATACAGTATGGACTTTTTATTTTGCAACAAGCAGTAGACCAATCCAACACACCATGCCATCTGACCAATCACAACAGAGGCCTAATAAGTTTATGGAAAGGAGATCTTCAGAAAGAATGAAACTTTAAAGTAATCTTTTGAGAATCTCTGAGAAATTAGGTGATTTGAAATGCGAATTTTGATTTTTTTTTTTTTTTTTTTTTTACCTTGGATTACCTTAAAATGAACCTGTAAATAGCATACACAGGTTGACATGTTAACAACAACAGTTTTAGTTGGTTTTCTTCTAATCTCTTGTTGTACCTCACAATTTTCTACTAATGAACTGGCATGTTTAAATCTATTATGCAGTTCAATGAAGGATGTGGGTTTTTGGCAAAGGAAACCAGATTCTCGCTGCACTAGTTATTTTTATATGTCTACAAGATAGCGTGTATAGCATTCATATAAAGCAAACAGTCCCCTTGATCCTCATCTCTTTGATGGATTCACAAAGGTCCATGCTTTGAGATTGATGGTGTGTGTGTGGCAAAACCAACAACTCAAAACCTTTGGCAAACCACAGATACTTTTTTCCAATGGGAGATAAAAATGACTGATTATACAAGACAAATTTGCCGCAGCAGAGATGCCAGAATAAATCAGTGGTGAAAAGAAGCATGAGCGGTTTGAACAGAAGTCATTACATAATTGTTATTGATTAGTTCTAAATTTATTAATCTGTTTTCTACCACTCAGACTTGTATGTTTGGCAATTTGTCAGACCACAAATGTACCCTAAGACAATAACTAGGAGTCAGATTCTCAACAAAAAAAGATTTAGCTGTACTTTAGGAATTTATCAAGCCTAGAAGTTATTGAGAAGAGACTTGACGTGTGTCCGCTTCAGTTAGTAACCTTTCATTTGTCAAACTAAATATGGAGGATGAAATTCTAAATAGGGAATTAAATGTTACCCAGCAGGCATAGGACGTCAACTTGACATCAGATTGACGTTGTATCCCAGCGTCGTGGGACGTTGCATTTTGTTTGGAAATAAAAATTGGGTAGACGTCAGAACCCAACATCAGGCCGACGTCAATGTGCAATGTTGGACAGACAGTGCATTATGGTTACTTTCCAGCACAACCTAAAAACAACAAAATATTAACGTCTAATGATGTTAAAGCTGTTAGATGTTGTTTCGTTGTGTAGACATTGCCAATATGACGCCTATCAGACATTGGAGTTTGGTTGCCAGACTTGACGAGTAAATGTCAGTATTTGTTGTCAATATGACGTTGGTTTAAGACGTTGGCTCAAGGTTGGATTTTGGTCAGTTTCCAACACAACCTAAAATCAACAAAATATCAACATCATTTAATGTCATTATTGGACATCAAAAAACATTGTGCTTAGATGCTGGTGACTTAAATCTAACCTAATTTTAATGCCTAATGACATTGGGTATAGTTGTTTGAAGCATGGCGATATGGTGGCTCAGTGGTTAGCACTGTCATATCAAAGGAAGAAGGTTGGTGGTTCGAGTCCTGACTGGGTCAGTTGGCATTTCTGTGTGAAGTTTGCATGTTCTCCCCGCGTTTGCATGGGTTTTCTCGGGGTGCTCCGGTTTCCTCCACTATCCAAACACATGCAGTATAGGTGATTTAAATAAACTAAATTTGCCATAGTATATGAGTATGGATGTTTCCCTGTACTGGGTTGCAGCTAGAAGGACATTTGCTGTATAAAACATATCCTGGATAAGTTGGAAGTTCATTCCGCTGTGGCGGCCCATGATGAATAAAGGGACTAACCCAAAGGAAAATGAATGAATAGGTTGTTCGAGGGTTGGTATAAAATGTAAAAAAAAAAATCATCATCAAAATGTTTTTGTTCCAAATTATGGCTTTTATTAACTGAATGTATTTAAGCCAATTTAAGTCTAAGCTTCCAGTTGCAAATATAAAGGCAATTTAAATGATCAGATCTTTATTTGTTCAATTTAATAATTAAAAAAATGAGAAATGGCGCTGGTTGTGATTGCATTAAATGAATGAGTGACTGCAGGCATGATAAAAGAGACATGAAAACAGCACAAAAAATAGACCACTCCAGATACATTGACGTGTCCTCCATCTTATAAATGTGCCTGTACTCATTTAAAAAAATTAGTTGTCCAAAATGCCACAACGTTGCCCTCCGAGATTTAATATCTGAAGAAACAGAGAAATGAAGAATGTGTCAACTTTTTCAGATTAACTCAATATTACAGGTTTTTAAAGTATAGTAAATTTTTAATGTTGTGTTACCTAAAGTATTTGGCTTTTCGTAAACTTGAATAACTGGGGTTGTCAGTTATCTTTTGAGTGTTCAAAACTTATGTATAATGACCCATAGAAACAGCAATGAGGCTTATGTATCTTTATTGCATTTTCTGTGCTAATTGTTGAAGAAAATACATGTAAATTGTGTTTCTGTATATTTAGTTGCTGAAAATACGGGTGTCACGGTGGCGCAGTGGGTAGCGCTGTCACCTCACAGCAAGAAGGTCACTAGTTCCAGCCCAGGCAGGGTCAGTTGGCATTTCTGTGTGTAGTTTGCATGTTCTTCCTGACTATTTTGGTCACATTTGGAGCATATTGGGGGGGCTGGTGACGTCATCGCCCTTAATTAAATGTGTAATATTTTAATAGCGGAAACAGCACAAATGGAACTTTAACCAGCACAAATGAACAA